TGGCTAGGCCTTCCGGTCGGGGACTGGATCGTTGCCCTGGCCTATCATTATGTATCTAGGCTGGCCCGGGAGGCGCGCGTTGTCGCAACGCCGTCTACTAGGTCAAGTTTTTTGCAGGGAAGCGGGTCCATCGGGGACCCCGGGTTTATGAACTTGACACATCCATTCTTGTAAAGGACCGTGTACCTCTTGTTCTTGTCGGAGTGGCTCATATAATACAGCCTGTGAAACCGAACTGCATAATCCATCAGGAAATACTTTACATGCTCCAACGTATCAAATACCATTCCCTTCTTAATCTCCACCTACTCACTATCTGGTACCTCATCGGCCAACAATGTCAAACCGGTGTCACATATTGCCTGGTCAACCATACAAATGTCCATGAAAATTGGTACCGAGGGTACCTCCACATGAACAACCTTCAATTGCCTCAATTCGACGTCATTGTACTCCATTCTCAATGACCCATCAGCTGGGACTCCTATTGCATCCAGAAACCGTCCCTCACAACAATCACTTTCGTCCTCGGTACTAGGCTCGGACCTGTACTCGTCCTTGAACACATCATCCGAAGTACTTGGCCCTGAAGTCAAGTCATCTTCGTCCACGAAGGCAACATCAAGTTCGTCATCCTCTGATCCTTGGGATATGTCATCCATATCATGTGGTCCATCTCCGTTGCCACCGTCCTAATCAAATGTTTCTTCATCGAAATCATCATTCAAGGCACCAGGCTCACATGACCTATCAACTTCTCTAACGACAACCGCCTGTAACTCTTCGTCTTGGGTAAGGTTCTCTATGGGCTCCACATCTACATTATCATCCACAACCACCACAATTGGGCTACACCCCTTCTCCACAACAACTTCCAAGCACCTAACACTACCACTATTGACAACTTCTACGTAGTTCTTCCATTCATCCTCACATGACAAAGACATCAACACATAGTGTGCTCGTTCCTTCCCACAGTCAAATCGACCTCACAATCTTAGTGGCCACCCAAATTTATCCCAGCATTGGCTAACCAAACCATCAAAGGTAGGAGGTGTACTAAAGAACTGAACATGTTCTTGCATACTTTGAAACTCCCCATTTCCTTTAACTTTGCCACCATAAAATAATCGCACTAACCGATCAATCTACAAAATAGGAACGAACACATCAACAACACATGAACTACACATTTCGAAAATAAATCATATCCATTCACTAATACACTACACTAACACCAACTTCACACTGATGTCAACAAAGGCAACAAACATACCGATCTAAATCCACCATGCATCAACTACCTACGTCCATGCAACACCTAGTTTACGTCCAATCCACGGGCAGAGTATATCCTAAACCTAATCTATGCATCAAATACTAACAAGCAACGATAAAACCATTCACACCATCCCGAATTTCCTAACCCTAGTTATGCAACTCATGAGGCAAGAAATCAAAAAATCGAGGGAGGGAAGACCAACCTGGCTGTTTATGTGACTCCATGGACCACGGAGGTGAGGGCCGGCGTTGGGGGAAGCCGCAGCCGGTGTTGCAGTCGCCGGGAGAGCACCAGTCAGCGACCGAGCCGCCCGCCTCTCCTGCCGCAGTAGGCTTGCAGCACGAAGAGAGAGGGAGTACCACAGCAGCTGCTGAAGTCCCCTGCGACGACCGGAGATGGTGAGGACGGCCAGAGGTGCCGGGGTGGCGGTGGAGGCCTGCCGGCGGCTCCAGCGCCCAGGACGCGCCCTTCTCTTCCATCACCGCGTTTGGAATGGAGGGAGATGGAGAGGGAGAGGGAGGGGACGCGGTGGCGCGGTGGCGGCGGCGGCACGCGGCTTTGCGAGCAGAGCGTGGACGCAGCGAGAGAAAGAGAGAGAGAAAAGAAATGGGCTGGGCCAGCCAAAACCTAAGTCAGCCTGTCATGCCAGCCCACCTGCTCTGTCGCATTGGAGTCGGTGGCGCGACAAGGCGGGACCCACGCTCCGCCACGCCAGCTCCGGTCAACAATCGATGCCAGCGTGGCTCCCCTTGTCGCACCAGTGCATGTGGCGCGACAGTGTGAGCGAAAGGGTCAGTTTTGCAAAAAAAATTGGGATTAGTATTAAAATATTGATTGAAAAAAGATTAAAAATAAAAAAAAAATCCACGACCCGAACCCAAGGTATTTAAAGCGGGCCTGGGGTGCTTCGTTCGGGCTTTAACAATTTCTGTTGGGCTAAATGGATGGACGGCCCATTTAAAAAGTGAGGATGGATATCTATCCTCCGCTAATAAAACGAACGCAACGGTGGGCCGCTTTACTCCAGTCCTGTCCTATGGGCTCTATGTGCATCCAAACCATGCAGCTGCAGACTGAAAAATATCTTCGCTGCTTTATGATCACACACAGGTCACGGTCTACACCCTACGCAACCATCTTTCCGAGTTTGGATCTGCTGTGGCGCTCAACTGATAACACTCCGCTCTCTGTGCCTCCGTTTGGTGGCCAAGAGAGTCAAATGAGTGAGTTTCATGAGTCTTGTCTGCTTTTTAAATATGGCTTATATCTTTGGATCGGAGCTCAAGGGCCAAGGTACTTTCACCATCGCAAAATCACTTTGTCACTACTCAAGTGACTGAGCTAAGAAACGGAGCTTGACTCGCAAATTTTCAATTTTTGAGTATATCTCGGGGGGCGGCCGTGTGGTCTATACGGACCAATTGGTCAAAAATGTTCGTCATTTTGGATGCATGCATGGGAAATTTGGAAGCATGGGAATGGATGCGTGTTTGTTGGAGCAGGACCTTGTGTTCAAATGCTCCTACAAAAAGTGGCTGATGAAGGTATTTGTGGTGTTGTGCCGGGGGCCGGGGCTCCCGTACTTCATCAATTGTTGCCTTGGTCGTTTCTGTTGGATGCTTAGACTGGTGTCACTTGTGAGTTCGTGGTCTTTTTATAATCTAGTACGTGCGGCACGAATGTAAACTACTGGAGGCCGCGGCTTTACCGAGTGTTTTTACACTTGGCAAAGAGCCCTTTGCACTCGACAAAGACTTATCGAGTGTAGCACTCGACAAAGTCCGCTCGGTAAAAATTTTCTCGGCAAAGAGTCTTTACCGAGTGCATTTTATCGGAGCATTCGACAAAATAAAAAAAAATTGCCGAGTGCTTGGGGCGGCACTCGGCAAAATATTTTCGGCCGTTGCGACGCCGGCCGTTAACGGTTATTTTGCCGAGTGCCCGACCCAGCACTCTGGCAAAAAAAAAATTATTTTTTTTAAAAATTACTTTGCCGAGTGCCCCAGCTCAGGCACTCGGCAAAGTTTTTTTTATTTTTTTTAATAATTACTTTGCCGAGTGCCCCTACCAGGCACTCGGCAAAGTTTTTTTATTTTTTTTAATAATTTCTTTGCCGAGTGCCCCTGTTTATGCACTCGACAAAGAATTTCTGATTTTTTTTTTAAAAAAAACTTGGCCAAAGTGCCGCGACGAGGCACTCGGCAAAGAGATTTTATATTTTTTTTTGAAAAATCTTTGCCGAGTGCCTTGCCCATGGCACTCGGCAAAGACCCCGAGAATTACAATTTTTTTTTACATTCCATTGCAACAGTCTGGATTCCCACCACAAAAGCAACCACTTGTTTGCACGTGTCAAGTACGCCAGGGCAAGCACACAATTGTAACCAGAAACTAGTTGTTGCAGGCTTGCAGTTGCAGGTGACCTAGTCCAGCGGCAATGTCTTCCGATGGCGACAGGAGACAGCATAGCAACACCCTGACCCTGACCAGTAGACTGGCCATTTGGCAACATGTACATTTTCATCACTACAAATGGTGCCAGACCGCTATTCGCGACACAAAGCTTGATGGATTAAGAGCTATTTAGCCCAGGCCATCCCATCATGACAATGGACAATGGCCTGCAGCAAGGGGCATCCAATCCAATAAAACAAAGTTCGAATTTCAGATACCAAGCAAACAGAGCGCAATGGAAAGGATGAAAGTGACTAAAGTCAATGAAATCCAAGAAGCAAATCAGTAAAAGTTGGGGGGTTGAAGATCTATCCAGTTACAAGAGATGTGCTCACGTATGTGTAAAGCAAACCCAAGTGTTAACATTCAAGACAAAGCAAAGCCAGTGCCCTCTTTACATTCTTATATCACATCAACTGTGATCAACGGACCATAACCTCTCCACCCCCAAAAAAGTTTTCAGGATAAGACAACAATAAAGACAAAGAAAACAAAAAGTGAAAAGCTATGATCAATGTTTTTCAAAGGACTGCTACAAAAAAGACATAAAGCTGAAACAATCAGCATGATTTTAATCAGAACATTTGAGTTGTCAAGAACTTACTGTACAACATAAGCATCAGCAGGGGGCATGGAATAAAGCTTAACTAGGCCTACAACAGCTAGAGAGGATCAGAATCTTGCATTCATGAATCAGATCAACTTTTGATATTTGGACAGAAGCATCATCTAAATAAATAACTTAGTCAGTGAAAAAGCTACAGTCAACCAAGATTCTCCTAGCACAGAACAAAACATAATGGACAGTTGGCACTAGAATAAAACTTTAGCACGCTACTAAAGAACTAAACACAATCTTTCTGTCCTAATCAATTCTGTTTAACAGTAGATGGACATCTAATTTAATTAATCCTGCATAAACGGCTGAAGGGGTAATTTGTGACTAATGGTACATCCTCTCTTACAATTCCACGAAGAAAAAGATTACAGTAAAGACATAATTCTTCAAGAAAACAGTTGACGCTCTGTAGTACACACAAAAAAATAGTTTCTAATCTATCTAAAGAGTTGGCACTAGGAATGCATTCCTTGCAACAAATGATTATTTCTCCACAGTACAGAACATAACACCAGAACTGGACACCATCACAATGTCAGTGCGCAATCATAACTGAACTGCAACAACGAAGGCCAAGTAGCAAGCCTTATTTCTAGCAAACAGTCAGCTCAACTTAGAAACTAACTACTATACTATCATGTAATTCTAGGAGAAAAGAGCACGGTACTCATTGGCCTCCTGAGCCATTTCATCCATGGTTCTATCTTTCCTCTCAATGTCCAGATCAAGCTTCTCCTTCAGTTCTTTCTCTTTCACATCAATCTATCATAGCAAGGAAAAGGGTAAGCTTTGTTTGATTGGATATTGTAATAAAATAACCAGATTAATAGAAAAATGAGCCACAAACCGCGTCAAATATTTCATCATTTTTCTCAAAATCCCCTTTCTTCCTCGGGATGAGGTGAATGTGGACATGTGCAACTGTTTAGCCAGCTTGAGGACCATCCTGACAAGTAATATCACTTGTTAATAAGAAACCTCATGGCATCATCATAGAATATAATAGAACAAATATAAGTCCATAACATGTATGTATTGTCAAGGAAAAAATGATGCATATAGAAGAACACATCTTCCTCGACATGTGATGTATTAATCTTTGAGTCAAATAAATTTACTCAGGTGGGTTATGAGTTATGACAGCTTTGCACCAAATGACAACACAACAAAAAAATGTTTAACAATTCCAATCAGAGAGTCAAAAAAAATTGCTTTAATAAAGTCAACTTGAGTTGCAGGCATACAGTTATTCTGCAAGTGGAACTGTTGCATGATATGAAAAACAGATAATCATGGCATAGAGTTGTAGATGGTCTCCATGGAAAGATGAACCAAATATGAAGTCAGTGGCTCGATAAAACAGAGTCCTCACTAAATGAGTACCTACAACTAACTTGATCCCCCTAGACAGACTAGATAACCAGGTCTAAAAATAAGAGAGCCAATGCAAAGGTTTGTCGAAAAATGCCATCGCTCAGTTTCTTTCATATCTGTTTCAGTGCTCTTCATGAACTATACTGAAGTGAGCAATCATTAGACAGTGCCTGCAGAGTGGAAAAAACTGTAAAACTAGCTTCCAAGAAATTACAGTGCCAGCTTCGCTGAAATAAAAGGATATGACCTGCATAAGAAAGATTCGTATTGTTAAATGCAGTGTCTATGAGAAAAAAAAGAAAAGAAATGCAATGTGGTGATTTAGAGATATGCAAAGCTTAAATGCAATGTCTAAGGGAAGGACTCATCAGGAGGAAATCTAGAATGACACTGTTATTAGCTTGTTCTGTAGGCACTAGGCAGGGATTAGATAAAGTACCATGAGATGGCAGGAATTGGGTTGGGTTTCCCAGCCAAAACAGAAGGCAATGCCCATGATCCATTGATCCTTGCCTACTGAAACAATCCCCATTGGTCATGGTGCAGTGGTACACTGTTACCTTGCCAAATTTCTTAGAAGCAGGGCATGATTCTGAATACACAAGTTTTATTTAGCGTTTCGGGACCCAACGTTTGATCAATCTAATTTCCATCAACCATATTTCCGCGAGAAAGCTGGGATTTTTATACTTTCCCCCACTTTCTGTCGCGACGACTAATCTTCCTGTTCCAGCAACTCCCAAGCTAAAAAAATGCTACGGTGCAGTGAGTTCGGGAGTGGCTGCGTCTACAGCAACGAAGCAAGCAAGAACCATCAGAGGTGAAGTGGAAAGGGAGGGAGCATGGGTATGTGTGTGACCCACCCGGGAGCAGCGGGCGGAGATTCACCATGCCGTAGGAGAGGGGCGTGGCGTGGAAGACCTCCCTGGCGTCGATCTTGTAGGGCCCGAACTTGTAGGAAGCCTCCATCCCCGGCGGCGGGAGCGGGGAAGAGGACGAGGACGAGAGGGCGCGCGGGTGCGGCAGGCGGCGAAGCAAGCGAGGCGGCGGAGGGAGTGGGAGTGGGAGGAGCAGGACGGCACGCCAGCGCAGCATCTTCTAGAGCTGAAGCCCAAAGGCCCTTTCACTTCCACCGGGAGACGGTCGACGGAGCCGGCAAGGACAAGGTACAGATGTGGGCTTTTCTGAATGGGTCTGGGCCCGATTTTGGAGGCCCGTTTTGAGGTTACGGACCTAGTATGGATTTTTCCTTCGATTATTAGCAAGCAAAAAGCAAAGAGAATGGTTGCAAATAGGGCAGATGTTTTCAACACTACATAAGGATAATGGCGTAAAGACGGAGAACAAAAAGTTAAATGGCAAATATTCGATACAAGACTGTGGTTACCAGTTTACCAGGATAAGCCACACAAGGCCATAACAGAACTAGATAAACGAAAGACAACAGAAGGCCTCAAAAGTCTACACCAGATTGCAACTCCTTAACAACACTAAAGGATCTAGATTTCGCCAACATCCGAGATCTCCACCATGCTAATGCTAGGCTTGAAAGTCTTCATCTATTGCTTCACGTCCTCCAGCACATGTTTGATGCGCTCCTGGTCTGCTTCCTTTAGCATAGTGATCACATGTGGAGATATCTGGGTTTTTGGTATCTGACGTCACAACTTGCTCGAAACCTTCTCAATTTTTACCACAGCCTCCATATGCGATAACACGACGCCTCGACAAGTTTCGTGATTTTCGGACTTTGTTTGCATTTTATATAATTTAAAATCACATTTCCAGCAAGTACCTCGACATGTTACGTCAACGAGATGCTCGAGATTTCATGTGAGTTCCAGGATACGGCCTAAACATACCCTAAATATCATGAGTATCAATTTTTGGATGACCAAAGTCCATTATTCCATGTACCTGCAGTTCAAATTTGAAATATCCCGAAAATTCGATTAAAGCACGAAATAAACTAATGAAATATATCAAAAGGTCAAAATTGCCCCAAATTTTAAAATAGAGTTTGAAATACATTGTCACAAGGCCTCGAGAAAAAATTTGGGCCCAAAATAAAAAAAAAATATTTTTTAGAATGCCATGGGGGCACTTTCGGCAAAGTGGGCTTCTTAAAGTGAACCGAGGGCACTCGGCAAAGTTGATTTTCAAAAATAAAAAAAAAAATTGCCAAGTGCTGTGGTGGCACCGCACTCGCAAAATAAGTTTTAAAAATTAAAAAAATTCTTTGAGTGCCCAAGGCTTACACTCGGCAAAATATGTTTTTAAAAAAAATTTGCCGAGTTCTCAAGGCGGGCACTCCTCAAAATAAGTTTTAAAATAAAAAAAATTACCGATTGCTACCGTTAGGCACTCTCTAAAAATCGACGGTGGTGGCCGCCACACGGGGCCGCCACCTTTTTTGTCGAGTGGGATCTTTTGCCGAGTGCCACGCCACTTGGCAAAGCCCGCTTTGTCGAGAGCTAGGCTTTACTGAAAGTGCTGTCCACTCGGCAAAGACACCTTTGCCGAGTGCTTTATTTTGCCGAGTGCTGCACTCGGCAAAATATTGCTTTGCCGAGTGCCCCGATAAAAAAGCACTCGGCAAAGTCTCAGGCACTCGGCAAAGTCCAGTTTTCCAGTGGTGGTAACTGTGTTGGCTAGTAGGAGCAGGCTTTGCCTGCTGCTTTGTGCTTCTTTTTTCTTAATTAGATGGCACACAACCACTCTCCGGCCTGATTCGAGAAATAAAATGCTTAAACAGACATCCGTGATCATTAAACCATAATCAGTGGCGAATCTAGACGAAAATATCAGTGGGATCATTGGCGTCAACTTTATTATGTGGTATAAATTTTCTTAAGCTTGAACAGTATTTACAAAGGAATTTACAGATTTATTAGGGGTCGGCGGACCCCGATGAAAGCCCCTAGATTTCCCCTTGACCATAATTGTTGTTAAAGGGGAAAAAAGTTGCTATGCAAACATATGTAGTTGGAAAATCATGTGGTCGCTAAATATGCTTGGACAAGGAAAGAATATGAAGCTACTCCTTTGCATTTTTGAACAACTATCGTTCTATTGGGTCTTAAATAAACTTCTAAAAGTGAGATCTTCTGTTTTGGTCAAAAAAAAAGATTGTGAGGATTATCACTCACAACTTTTCACTTATGAAATAGGCTCTTATCCATTTCAATTCGTTACCTAGGAATAGCGATGCATTATAGGAAATTAAACAACAATGATTAGATAATCAGCGTAAAAAGAATTCAGGGGAAAACTAATATATATGGAAGAGTAGATATCTTTAGTTGAGAGGAGACTAGTCCTAATAAACTCCGTTATGTCAAGTTTACCTATATTTATGATTTCTTTCTTTGAGATATCTAGAGAGGTTCTCAAGAACATAGAGTATTTCAGGTCTAGGCTCTTTTGGTAGAACTGTTAGCACAGAAGAAATACAAACTAGTAAATTGCGATCTAGCTTGCCAACCTAAGGTGCAAGGCAATTTGGGGTTACAAAACCTAGACATTCAAAATAAATGTCTAATACATCTGCTACAGAAATGATCAGTAAAGGGCACCAATGATAAAACCAATACGTTGTTTTAAATTGGCATAGTACAATACGTAACAACAACACATGAACAATTTTTTTCTTCTTATTTTTGAGGGGAACGCACGAACAATTTTGTTGGCAAACAAAATCTGAAAACGACAGTAGAAGTGTTTTTCTTTCCAAAACGTAACCATGCACGGATGGCCCGGCCCGGCCCAACTTTAGACGCTCCGTAGAATATCCAGCAGCCGCCACCGTCCTTTGTTTCTTGTGTGGATCCGCTCTCCTCCGTCCGGCACACAACACGAACACCCACCACCACCAGCCGACGGCTTCCTTCCACGGTTGCACCCCAACGCGCACCGTTGCGTTCACAGGCAGGCAGAGTCACGCGCACGGCAGACGCCATCTGGGCCCCACCACGCAGTGGGGCTAATAGGTCGGTTTCCGTTTGCCTAGCTGCATATAAAAACCTCCGGCCCCGATCGTTCTCGTGTCTTCCACGGCGCCATTTTGTTCAGATGAAGAAAAATCGAAACTCAAAGCATTCCAGCCTTCTCCTCCCCTGACCGGAAGCAAGCAAGCAACGGCAGCGATGGAGGTGGAGACCACCAGGCCGCCGCCGCCGGCTTCCGCGTCGTTCAGCATGCCGTCGTCGTTGGCGTCGGCCTCGGGGCCAGCGGGCGGCGGGGATGAGTTCACGGCGGACGACCTCGCGGCGGCGGACCAGCTGGTGCAGCTCAACGTCAGCGGCGGCGGCGGCGGGGACGAGGAGGACCAGTGCTGTTCGTCGTCGGCCCGGTCGGTGAACAACGCCGAGAACGAGGATGACGACGAGGAGGAGGACGGCGCCGCGGGACGGGGGCCGGTGGACCGGAGGGCCAGGAAGCGCTACCGGCTGGTGTCGGAGCTCTACGCCGCCACCAGGCAGGTGAAGGCGGCGGCCGTCGCCGGTGGTGGTGGTGGTGGCAGGAGGCGGAAGGGCAGGGACGGCGTGGAGAATTGAGAGCTGGATCGAGCCGACATGAATGCAGTGCGTGCCGAAGTTTCGAGCCGACATGGTCTGGGTTGGGCTTCTTGAGCTCGTGTAAATATTTCCTTTCTTTTTTTGTTTCTGTATAAAACAGTTTTGAGCGAGTGCTTGTTTCGTTTCCTGATGTTTGAGATCGAAATTTGAACTTCTGCAAGTGTTCGATTCAAATATCTAAGCTTCGACTGCAATTTTTTGTTTCCGCTTACTTCTTTCTGAATTAGTATACTATTACCAGTAATTAACGCGTGATTGTTTCTGGAACCTTCTACACGTATGGGTCGCTCCTAGAATCAAGAGTACAGCATGGCCGTTGAGCTTGCTAGAAATAGTCAATAGATGACACGCTCGGCAAACGATCGACTGAGCTTCGATTGCAAGCAATGCTGCATGCATGTACGTATACGCGTCGATCTGGTGCTCCAGGCAGCAACACGCAAAAGGACTTAGATCCGCCTGCTTGCCATCTTTTTTTTTCATTCCGAAATACGGTATAGACGACTAACACATACTCCATTCCTCAGCAGGATGTTTGGTTCGTGGAGCCACTCCATCCTAGATGAGGTGGTGCATTATTAGTCTATTCCTTAAATTTAGTGGAATGACTTTATTTCTCATACCAGTGCTGGTAAGGAATGAGGTGACGATACGTCAACCGATTCCATTCCATAATAAAAAAAAAGTGATGAATGAGTAGAAGATGGATCACCTCATTTCTCAAACAAAAACACACCCCAAATTTGATGGAATGACTCTATTCTTCGTATTAATACACTTGTGAGGAATGAGGTAACGATGAATCAATTCATTATGAACCAAAAAAAAAAGAGAGGAGTAAGTAGATGATGAACTCCTCGTCATTTCTCAAACCAAACACCCTCTAAATGTTTCACCAAAGAAGTGTTATTTACACTACCTCAAATCTTCAAATCAGTGCCGGTTCAAACCCCCATTCACTGCCGGATTTAGGTATCCAGAAATGCATTTTCTGGACATACTTGCCACGCGGACATTTTTATCTGACGTGGCAACGCCACGTGACGGGAAATATGCCGTCTTAAAATCAAAATGGAGCTAGACGTGTATGCATTAGTGTTGAACGAAGCAGGGCAGTGAGCAAACAGGGGAGCACGAAGCACGCGAGGAGGCGAAAGGACCCGGCGAGCTGGACGATGTACCCGGCACGGATGTTATGTTTTAGGAGTCGTGGCGGAGGCGGTCAAAGGTAGAGTAGCAGGCGCTGACTGCGGCGGCAGACAAGGGAATAGAGGGCGTAGGCGAGCGTCTGGATGCAAGTGGCGTGGCGGCGGGCAGCCCGCCCCACGTCCGCACGAGCCGCGAGCTCGCTCATGTGTCCGCTAGCTAGCCGCGATGCAATCCCTTCATCCTGCCTCGGCCATGGCCACACGCACGAGCTGCTGCTCGCCCTGCCTCGCCTCGTCCCAAGACCGTGCACCATCATCACCCAGCACAAGTGGGCGCCCTCGTCGTGCCCTAGGAGCCAGCCCAAGTCCCATCTGTGCCTCAGGCGAGCTTGCCATCACCGACTATTTAAGCAAAGCACGCATGCGCCGTGACACCTTTGCGCCCTTTCAAAATTCATCCACACCAGTGCCTCCCATTCCAATCCCTCGGAGCCATGAGTGCGCCCGGTTGTTAGCTAGCCCCTAGACAAGACCTCATTGCAAACCATTTTTGGTAAGTGACGAATTTTGGAATCTCATGGAATCGGCCGCCGAAGCTGAAGCTCTGCCGTGGCGCTAATTTTTTTCCTCTCTGTTTCTATCCAAGATGTGTTTTAGCATCGCCTTAACGCCCCCTACATGACCCTTGCACAGTTTGGCCGGTCTCCTCGTCGTTCGTCGGTAACACACTAGTGCTCGTCGTCCGCCTGTTGCTGTCGTCGCCGTCATGTGGTCAGTCGTCATGTGACCTCGACGCCCTGCTGCGGTCGGAGCCCTTCGGCGCGTCGCTAGACTTCCCCGTGTTCCCCACCAACGTCCTCTTCTAGGGCACCCACGACGAGGGCACCAACGTCGGCCTGGCCACGCCCCCGCCACCTATCGCCAGCGCTAGCGCCGCCGCCGCGACCTACTCAGCCTCCGGGCGCAGCAAGGGGAACCTGGTCATCGACATCCCAACGCAGCCCGTGGCCCTAAGCACGCCGCCCATGAACTCCCCGCTGCCGGCGAGTCGGATGCCCGGGACTGCCGACAAGATGTGGTCCCCGGTCTCCACCAGGCTATGGTCGCTGCGCTGGCTGCTTAGCAGAGGCAAGCTGGCCATGGTCGGCACCTCCTACAGCCCGCGCAGCGCTAGTGACATCGAGCAGGGGCCCGTCGAAGCCGAGTCCGCCCGCTCGCCTAAGACGTCGAAGACGCCTCCGTCGGCGAACTGATCCAGATCCCCAAACTTGGCTCGGCTTTGGAGGTGAAGGCGAGGTCATGGGCAAGCAGCGTCGTGGCCAGGGGCGAGCCTGGCATGTACAACACTTGGCAAGGCACCGCAGAGGCGAGGTGGGCAGTGCGTGTCACTCTGCGGCATTGCGCCGAACAGGTGGCGTGCGTGTCCTGTCAGGGACAGAACACAGATGATCTGTTCGGGATATTCCATTTAGATTTCAGGGGGTTCACTGCATATTTTCTCGCCTCGTGGCAATGCCACCTCAGATAAAATGTCCGCGTGGCAAGTATGAACCTGCGGTGTATCATTAGCAAGTTTTGGTATCAAAAATGCATTTTCCAAGTTCTTGGATCTAAGTGACACCCCATTACAAGTTCAAAGGCCTCTCATGCTTTTAACTCTATGTTCTATCACAATAAGAATGCAAATATCTTTATGGTTTAATGGAAGTGGTTTTCATGACAACAAATCTTTGCATATGATCTTCAAATTTCTAAACTAAATACTTTGAAGTTATTTGTGATCAGAGTTCCAAACTTTGACTAACATCTTGTCCAAAACGTCAAGTTTTTGCAAACTAGATGGAGTACATATTAAAATCAATCGGCCTTCTGCTGTTGTTGCTTCCATCAATTGAGCAACAAAACTGTAATGCGCAGTCAACGGGGATAAATCGAACGGATATTTGTGAATGGGATGTTTTCTTACATTATTCAACGGAAATAGGTATAAAGTATTAATTTATTTTTGTAATAAATCTAATGGAGTCAATCTTTTTTTATTCATCTAGATACAAATTTTCAATATTGTTGATCGAAGCTAAAAAAATGTTAGACTTAGAGAAAACTTAGATCCATGGATTTATTATATAGTTGACTTGTGGTAGGAGGGATTACTATTTATCAGAAAAAATAGGTCTGATCATTTTGAAAAACAACACCTTATTCATTTCCTAAAAATAATTGATAGATAATACACGAACTAATGATCAGGTTTCTTATGATTGAACATGATCATTTGGGTTTATGTCTTCGATGTGGCGCAATTAATTGTATTTTCCAAAATTTAATGGTACTATTCTTTCATTGGTAAGCATCGTCCTTCAATAGCTAAACATCTACGGTGACTTTATCAACTTCAAGATTTGATGAATTGGACTTGTGCCTTCTAGAGATATTCGTAGGGGTAATGTTCCATCAATGGTAATAAACGGCGTGCTTGTCAATAGCTAGATGTCTGTGTGCTATGCCGCTATGGTAACTTCATCAACTTCAGGATCTGTCAAATTAATCTTTCAGAGGATGCCTGTGGACTGTGGTGACTTTATCGACTTCAAGATATGTAAAAGTTAGTTAAGATCTGCCAAATTAATATTTTTAGAGGTGCTTTAGAGTTATGGTTTTGGTGCCGACCATTATAAGATCAGTATAGCGCATGTTCGTCAGCATTTGTATTGTAGTATTGTTTTAACTTGCAAAACGAGAAAAATATTAATAATACATACATGCCTGCTGGATGAGATGTCAAAAGCATTATATGTAGTAGTACTTAATGTAATGATTTTTTTTATCTCTCTCACTCTCCGAACTGGTTGATCCATTTTTTTTTGATTGACTGATGGATTGAGCATTAATTTCCAAGGTCTACCCTGTTCTGCAACCCAGGATGGAGTGGAGAATGGTTGGCGCGTAAGCTCCCACTCAAGTAAAGTCGTGTATCATTAATCTGACCTTTCAAGGTCAACAACAAGAAATCCACTTTCGGTCTGTTCGCTCATTGGTTTCAGTCAGGATTTATTAGTCAGTCAACAGTATTTTCCTCTCACAACAAACCAGCACCAGTCGAGTTTATCAGTCCAGAAACCAACCAGCGACGAACATGCGGTTTGACAGATTCGGTATAAGATAATACACCATGCATATGTGACAATGTTTTAGCGTAGCTACTAGACCTGGCTAGCTATGTTGTCCGATCCACTGATGCGCTTGTTGTCAGTAATAACTTGGTATACGTAACATCTAGGATTGGTTGTTCCTTGCTAGCGAAGCATGTGGTGGACAACAATGCATAAGCATTCGCAGCATTTATCCATGCATACTTGGTATACGGTAGATCGATGACACGGATGGGTTCGATTCAGTCTCCTGACCCGAACCAAATGCTACGATCAGGTTGGGACGTAGGATCACATCATTCCACATTTGTCGGTCTGGCAAAAGCAAATGTGCGCTAACTTACTACTCATAGGGCCAGTTTAATTTGGTCGGTGATGTAGTTGCCATGCCAAACTTTTGACAACCTATGGCTGCCACAGAAAGTTTGGCGATCAAATTTGAAGTCACGTCTATGACAAAGTTTAGTAAGAAAATAAGTCTACGACGTATGGGACGAGACAGCAAACCAACAGCTAAAAAAAAAAGGGGGCATGACCAACCTATGACATGGCATGTTTTTTTATTCTATATATAAACTACAAAACATATAGCTTTGTAGATATATGTATATAATTTTTGTTATATATATAATATATCTAAAAACTTATAATTTGAAACGGATAAAATATAAAGAACTACAGTCTATCAATACTCAGAACCAAATCATCTTAAAAAAAGAAAGGGAATCTTCGTGTGTTGTAGTACAGTATATCCGGCAGCACTCCAAGTTGTACAACCCTGCCCGCGGCTTTGCGTCTACGTGCCCGCCCGCCCGTCCCGTCCGTAACGCCAACACCGTGACCGTGAGCACTAGCAATAGCTACCCTGGCGCGGGGGGGACTGGGGAAGCGGCTGGCTGGGCAGGCGACGCGACGCGACCCAGGTGCGCGCGCGGTTGCGTCGCGCGGGCGCGGGCGCGGCCGCTGCGCACCACCACCACGTGAAGTGCGCCGCGAGGACGTGGCCCAAATTCCACCCGAATCCTGCCGCGCCGCGCCACCTTCTTGCACAAACCACCTGCCGCTCTGCACAAATCGCAAAAGCAGCACATCCAGCCCCGGCCCGCGACGAACCCCGTCGACACATCGCCGCACAGGCGCGCACGGAATCCGTGGCCTCGGTCCGCACGATACGCAATCGTCTCCGTCAAACAAACCATGCGTTTTCTGGATAGCCCCCCTCCGGTTCTCCATTTGCGTGAGGCCGTCCGGGCCGGCCGTCCGGCGGGCCGATCGCCTATTCGCCTGGGCGTGGAGAGAGGTCGGTCGGTTCACGCTCACGCCGCAGCAGCCAGGCATTACAAAACTGCAGCGAGCGATTAACCTCCCCAGCCAGCCTAGCCTAGCCCGAAAATTCAACCAACGCCGAGGAAAAAGAGAAACGAAAAAAAACACAGAAAATTAGAGAGATAGGGACACGCGAAGTTAGCCGGAGGCCAACCCTCGCTCGCTCCTCCCGCACGCCCCCCTCCGTTCCTCCGCCGGGCGACCGATCGATCGATCCGTCCACCGCGCGCGCGGCCATGGCCGACGAGGCGGCGGCGCAGGCCCCGTCCCCGGTGCGGTTCACGGCGCGGGAGCTCGCGGCGGCGGAGCAGCTCATCCACCTGAGCGAGAGCAGCTGCTCCTCCTACGCCGGCGCCCTCCCGCGGGGCTCCGTCGCGTCGGCCTCCTCCACCTCGTCCCCGCGCTCCGTCAACGCGCCGCCGCTCCCGCCGGCTACCCCTGCTCCTCCTCCTGCTGCTGGGCCTGGGCTATTAGCCGCGGCGGCGGAGGATGACGAGGAGGAGGAGGAGGACGAGGACCAGCAGGAGGTGGGCGGGAGGCGCCGCAGGAACAAGCGCTACCGCCCGATCGCCGAGATCTATGCGGCCACCGAGCCCAAGCCGATCGGGGCCGGGGCGCGCCGCAGGAAGGCGGACAGGCCCTCGACGGACGGCGCGCCGGAAGCCGGGAAGTAGAGAGGGAGAGATCGAGAGAGAGAAGGTGGACTTGCTTGTAATTATGGATAATTAGCAGGGACTAGCTAGCTCTAGCTTGCTATAGGAAGGTTTGTGTGAGCTTGGTTTGGACTATCATCGTCATATCTAGCCATCATCCATCCTCTCTAGCTACTACCTTTTGTTACTCATCATGCATGATCTTCTTCTTCTCATGCATCATATCCGATCCATCCTCCTCTTGGAGAGGAGAGGAGAGGAGAGGAGAGGAGAGGATACATGCATGCATGCATAGTTGCATACTGCATACAGGTCAGTGTGATCAAGGAGCTGGCGGTGGGTTATTAACTGTAAATTAAACTATTGTATATATCCTTTCACTAGTAATATATCAGCACTTGCTTTGCTGCACATCATGTATCATGTGTCCATGCATACACTGAGGATACCAGTTTTTGCCACACCATCGACCGATTGTCAGTGTCAGCTATAAACACACATGAGGAAGCAAGAGCGCTAGGAATAAGAGGATAGATCGATCGATGATGACCAGCATGAGGAAGCAAGAGCGCTATAGGAAGAGGATAGATCGATCGATGATGGCCAGACGTGTGCTCTGAGGTGCACGATCGTGGGGAGTGCGCCCAGTGTGTTTGGAGTCAGGTAAGGTCGATCAGCTGATGCTTCTATCTAATACGGAGTATTTAATTTCCCCTCGGTTGGTTCAGTCCTGCGCATAAGCGCGAGTATTGTTCTTATTTCTTTCCTTCATTCCCCTTCAGGTTGTACAACTAGCTCTATTAGCTTTTATGGTCGCGCAAGTAGGGTGGTGGTCTCCACGGCTCCTAATTTGTGTCTCGATTATTGGGGCAGTAGAACGATGAACTGAAGTTGGTCTTACGGACTGGCCCTTTATTATTATTTTGTCTGTGTAACTCTTTAGAAACAATCGTTAATTCTTTCTTCTCTGCTGTGGAGTGTGATCAAGAAGTAATTAATTAATGTGTGGGATATACAATATAAGTTAATTAGCTACGCTCAGGACCCTAGAATTCTCGATGCCGGTTGGATTGACATATAGTTAACCAAATTTATCAAGCCTTTATACATGGATGATGTTTC